GCAATAACACAGAGCATAGTAGATACAGTACACAGACGCATTTACACATACATACACAAGCATGAGTCATTCAATACCCATACACAAGCAGTAGCAAGCATACATACACAGTGCAAGGTAACATACAATACACAGAGCATAAGTACATACACATACAAAACAAGTCCCCCAAAAAAAGAGGTCACAGTACAGACATCAGTGCATAGCGTAGATACACATAACAGAGGCAAGTAATACACATACACAGAGCAAGGTAGATACATACACAGAGTCATAGGCACATACATACCACATGCATCAGTACACTACACATACACAGCATAGTACACACATACACAGTGCACGAGACATACACATACCACCAGAGATAGTAGGTACATACACAACACAGCAGATCAGGTACAATACACATACACAGAGCATCAGGTACATACCATACACAGAGCAATAGGTAGGTACCCGCTACACAGAGCCATAGCACATACATACCAGACATGCAGGTACATAGCACATACACAGAGCATGCACATACATACAACAGTTGCAATAGGTACATCACACATACACAGAAGCATAGGTACCATCCACATACACAGAGCAATAGTACAATACACCATACACAGACAAGATAGTGTAGCACTAACACATACACAGAGCATAAAGCCACAACAACACAGTGCATAGGCTACATACACATACACAGCAGCATAGTACATACACATACACAGAGCATAGCACATACATACACAGTGGCAAGTAGTAATACACATAACACAGCAGCTCAGTATACATAACAATACACAGATGGCATAGTACATACCACATAGCACAGCATAGGTACATACACATACTACAGTGCATAGGTACATACACATACACAGTGCATCAGGTCATCCACATACAAGGCACTAGACAATACACATACACAGTCGATAACATACACATACAAGAGCATAAGTAGGATACATAACACATACACAGAGAATAGCCCACATACATACATACACAGAGTATAGGTACATACCCATACACAGAGCATAGGTACATACACATACACAGAGCAAGTACATACACATACACAGAGAATAGTACATACACATCAACAGAGCACAGGTACATACACATACACAGAAGCAAGTAGTACAGTACACATACACAGAGCATAGGTAGGTACATACACATACCATCAGAGCATCGTACTAAACATACAGTAAAAAAAACAAAAGAAAAAAAAAAGCAAATAACAGTAGCATACATAGAGCATAGGAGTACATACACAAAGCAATAATAGGTACATACACAAACACACGAGCATAGTAGAACCATACACATACACAGAGCATAGGTACAATACACATACCGAGCAATAGGTATTACATACACATTAACACAGAGCCATAGGTACATACACATACACAAGCATAGGCATACACAACACAGAGCATAGGTACATACACATACACACGAGCAAGTACAATACACATAAGACAGAAGCATAGTACACTACACAACACAAGAGCATAGATAGATACATACACATACATCAGAGCATAGGTACATACACTACACAGAGCATAAGGATAACAACACATACACAGAGCATAGGTACCATACCATAACACAGAGCATAGTAGTACAACACTACACAGAGCATAGGTACATAGCACATAGCCATAGGTACATCCACATACACAGTGCATAGTAGCCAAGCTCGGGTTCAGCAGGTGGTGTCACTGACGGCCGCGCTTAATCGTCGGAGCGAAGGGCACCGTGTAGTGCTCCTAGCGCCCTCTGAGGAGCCCGCCTTTCTGCACACCAGAGTGCGACCGTTGCGCCGCTCGTAGTGCGTAGAACACTGATTGCCGCAGGAATGGGTCGCCAACCTAGAAACAATGAACAGCTGTCTTGCAGAGCTACGGGGGAGAGTTCGCGACGTCAGCCTTTAACGTGTTTACTCTTTACATACCTCTAATCGAAGATACCATGTTATTAATGATACTATAGGTTCTCAAGACATAAAGAGCGCAGTAAGCGCAGCTCACCTATTGTCAAATTTAACATCGCCGTGTCGAAAATGTTCCTGGATTTACCCGCAGTCGCAAAATAGTGTCAACCGTACAAAAATAAATAGATTCACCACGACTCAGCATATTTGATTGCCTTTAACAAGAGGGAGAGGGAAAGAGGGAGAGAGGGAGAGGGAAAGAGGGAGAGATGCACTCTTCAAGTAGAATGTTCTTCCTCTATCCCATATATCGGGAACAGTTTTGGGGGGGAGGGAACATACCTGCATCGCAACAGGGAAGTCGTTCTGTGCTTCCGGAGGGAAGAACAGGTCGACGGCTTTCTTCGTGAAGGGCGTGTTCCCAGTCGGGGGAGAGCCAACCTCTATAATGTGCAGCTGCAAGGAAGAGACAGAGAAACTCATTACTTCCACCGACAACGTATTATACAACTATAATCCACCTCAGATCACCGTGGTTACAGGCATTTATCACCGTGGTTACGAGCATCTTTCGCCGTGGTTACGAGCATCCATCACCATGCTCGCAGACGTCTCTATCACCACGGTTACGGTAACATCGCTCAGCTAAGCTCGTCTAAGCCTCGGCAAGGATTCGCTCCGAGTCGTCACACGACTCGCGTAATCATGTTTTAGAGAATGACCATGCCGTGGGGAAACATGAGGAGGTGGGAGGGGAGGGGAGGGGAGGGGAGGGGAGGGGAGGAGGAGGGGAGGGAGGGAGGGAGGGAGGAGGAGGGAGGAGGAGGGAGGGAGAGGAGGGAGGGAGGGAGGGAGGGAGGGAGGGAGGGAGGTACAGGGGAAGGTAGCAGGGTGTGAGAGTTGAGCACGCCCGTCCACGTA